CAGGACCAAGCAGTGGTGTTCAAACCTGACTACTGAAATCACTTTAGGACCATCACAAAATAATAGGTTTCTAAGCCCTGCCTCCAGATTCAGATTCAGATTCAATGGGTCATATTTAACCTTCCAGTTAAGGGTAAGTTATTACTGCCTAGTAATAATAATTCAGCCCCCCAATTATGCTGCTAGCTTTAAAATAAAACCGACAAGCTAATTACAGACATGAAAAATTAGAAATCTGTTATTGTGTTGCCAACTCCAATAAGCCCAGATAAAAAGCTGTGAACATTTTTCTTACTGGCATTCAAGACAGTAAGTAATCTAAATTGTAAGTGCATTTACATCCACCCCCCCCCCATGAAATTCAATAATGTCTTTTCAATTCAAATGCAGCCTCTAAATGTTTTTACTATTCCAGACTTGAGTCTCAGGCAAAAAAAAAAAAAAAAAAAAAAAAAAAAAAACAAAAACACAGGTACCGAGGTGATCACTAATCTGAACATTCTGATGTGGCAAGAAGGAAATGAAAAGAATCCAAGACATCTTTCTAAAAAAGTGGATCTTCATATTTGACCGAACTCCAAATCATCTCAAGGCACCTGAGTATTTCAACTGATGCTGTTCTTCTGGTTAAAGGTACAATTTTATTCAAATAAAACAGAACAGATCACTGTTTCATTCCGTGGGAAAGAGCAAGAGCTGAAAGAAGCTCACCAAACATTTTAAAAAATACGAGTGAAGACTTTCTCTTCGGATTTTATCTCCTCAAGATAGCCATCAGGATGCAGCAAAACACACAGAGGTTAATGTCTCAAAATGAATACAAACCTATTTAAATATTTAACCAAAATGATGAACAAGTCATAGAGCAACTGAAGAATAAAATCTGGCAGGTTCTGGCCTTCCTTTTGGGGTTGTGAGCACCAAGTGGTCTGTTTCATCTTCATGAAGCTGCGGGTTTCCAGAAAGCATGGGGCTTTCTACCCATGAGGCACATAGGAAAGGAGACTTAGAGAAGAGAAAGGTTTGCTGGACTTGTGACAGTCACTTGATCACCCCTGTCCCTCTGTGCCAGTGATTGTCCTTGTGTTCTGAGAAATCAAATGCTCATACTACAGTGTGGTGTATCATGTGATTTCAATTGTTTATTAAATTCGATCGAACCAAGGCCTAGCCAGTAAATTGTTGCAAAAGAGACTTTTGTAAAGGCAGGAAATGACAGATTTATGATGTTATGGCCATTTTGTCTAGAGTTTAAGAAACCAGTAGTATTAGGAAAAGAAATCTTAGGTATAAAATAAATAGCAACTTGCGAGTGGGATTTTAGTCTAAACAGAAATTCTGCTACAATTCTCTCCCCCAACTCAATGTTCATTTTTTTCTTTCCTAAATGATTCTTAAAAAAATCTCACATTACCCACCTCATTCTTTGCTTCCTCCCTCTATAACATTGTCCCTTCCTCACTGCCCATCCAGATCCATTCATCTTTCATAGACTAGCTCACCTTCCACCTCCTCCTTGAAGCCTTTCCAGATTAATGCAGTCTGCAAGGTCTCCTCACATGACTATACTGCTGTGAATCAATGGCAAGTCATGATGTCTTGCCGTTCTCAGGGCAGCTTGGCTATTCAGAATACTGTGTAAATGCTTATGTATCAGATCTCCCCAACTGCCTCTTGGGATCTTGCAAACTGGAAGCATCTCTTCTTTGTCACTTAAAACAGTAGCTTCTGGACTTTTTGGAACATGATGCATAGTAAGATATACATTCTACATCATAGTCCTATGTGTATATATACCTACGAATATATATTTGATTAAAAAGTTCCATGAACTATACTTACTTATCCTTTTATTCTGTTTTACTCTATTTTATTTAAAAAAAAATAAAAATAAAAATGCCATCGGACCCAGTAAACTGACTTCACAATGGGTTGTGACCATTCTAGAGGGGCATTTACTGATTACTATGGGACTACTGTATATATTTTCCTCACTTAAAACATAATGTAAAAATTGTATGAGACCTTTTGGTTCTCTTTAGCACGTGTTTCTGAGTTACTTTTTTTTTTTTCATTCTGTTTTTCAGACCATCATACCTGCGCCTCTTGGAGTCATCTGGGACAGTTAAATCCTTGCATAGACAGTCTTTTCTGTCTTTTTGCCCTGAGCACTGTTATCACACAAATAAGATTCTCTGCATTTCTATAAAACTCCATTTTCTCATTCCCTTTTATTTTCGCCATACGCAAAGTAGGTAGTAGACATTTTGTGGATGAAGAAATTGAGGCACAGAGAATTATGACTTTCTCAAGGGCATGTCTCCCTTTTAATTAGGTTATTACAGGTTCATAAATAGAGTTTCTAGACATTTGAAGATTATAAAGTTGGGTGACACGAACAACATAGTGCCTCCATATAAATGACGTCCCTAATTTACCCAGGGAACTAGTTTCCAGACCAGAGGAGTTAGCGGCTCTATGGGATTTCAGTTTGAGGCTCGATTCGCTTCCTTTCAACCTCCTCTTTCCATCTTTGTCTACTCACAGTGTTTCACCCACCTAGAGCTACTTGTTATTCCTGGGCCTCTTCATTCTTTTGTCCTTGTACCAGGATGGCTCCTCTCTCTTCTCTTTACCAGACCAGTTCCTCTGGTCCTCCAGGTCTCTGGGCACCTCCTTGTCCTCTCTACCTCCACAACCTGGATTCCCAGCTCCCTGTGCAGGCCCTGTCAGAGCACTTAACCAGCTGGTACTTCCTGCCTCCCAAGTTTGGCCGGCAGAGGCTGTGTCTCACTCACTCTTCTATTCCACAGTCTAGGGCCATGGTGAGTTCTGGGTAGACAAATGTTGAATGCATGAATGAATCAATGAATGAGTACATCGAGGGCAGAAACTGTTACCACTGAAGAAACTCAGGTGTGAGCTAGGACTGGAATTGTGTGTCTTGAATCTCTGAGGCCAGTCTTTTAGGATTTTGGATTCCGTGACTGTTACCTTAATGCTTCCCCATAAGCTGTAGAGTTTCTGACTGGAAATTCTTCTAGTGAAGGAGAGCTGTATCTAATATATTCCTTTACATATATTTGAGGCACAATCAAGAAAATTTCGCAGGGTCAGATAATTAAGGCAAGTGTACTGAGGCAATTAAAAAAACACTCAAATTTCAAAACACCTTGTTGGACCCCACCCCGACCTCCAACTGAGACTGATCTGGTTCAGGTTATGCTTCAGGACTCGACCTCCCATACCAAGCTCAGCGCTTTTGATTTTGTCCTCATCATTTCCATAAAAGTCCAGTTAGTGACGAGGTGAAGCATCACACAACATACTCTGCACGGATCTCCATGAGTTCCTCTGCTCTGTTTCCAAAATAAATCCCAGTGATATAACATCTAGACTCACAGGGGCTATACTTTTTTTTCTGTTTATGAATCAACAACCGATTTCCTCCCCTGCCCCTCACCAACACATAAAAACTTGGAAAGTGCCCTTTGTGATTCTATTTAAAAAACATTCTCTAATAAAACTTCTGTCGTTCACAGATAGTGAGACAGAGCAGATTTTCTTCTTTATGCTGTGACTCATGTGCCTTTATACCCAGACTTAGGGCAGGCCAATGGTGAACACAATGGAAAAGAAAGAATAGTTTATAACTAGAAAATAAGCACATTCGAGAGAAGTACACTCAAAGCATTATCGAAGTAAAATATGCAGCAGTGCCAACAAGAGCAAACAAAAGCCCACGCAAGAGATGTGTAAATATTTCATGAAGCTAAGCCTTAATCAACTCTCTCTCCAAATCTTGCTGGTGTTGTAAACACTTCAGTTTCTTTCAGTCCCATCATGACCCAAATTCCTCGCAAAAATAAAATGAAAACATGGTTCTTTAACAAACGTGTCGTGAAAAATATTCAGGTGGGTCATACCCAGGTATTGCTTTAACAGGAAGGAGATGCCTTAATGAAAGGCAGTTGCTCCTTGGTGACTCTGAGCTTCTTTCTCCCTTCCTCCTCCCTTGCCTTTCCCCCCACAGCCTCTGCTGCTTTCTGGGCATTCACATCATCTTAACCTTGAACTGCCTACACCCCAAGCAGAGATCTCTCCCAGTGCTTTTTCTGGAGGCCCTTTAAATCCCACAGTGGTTTGCCGCCTTCCCACCACCCAAAATTCACTTCCCAGTGTCCAAGTACCTCCCTTCCCCTGCACGCCCCCTTTCATTGTCCATTGTTGCGTCTGAAATTTTGCGTATACCCTTTAGATCTGCCTGGATAGGATGAAAATCTGTTGTGTGTACTGGCCGGCACTGTTCTTCAGATGTTTTCTAAAATCCATCTCCCAAGAACCATTTATAGCCCTTAGTCTCTACCTTGATTTAATGTGGTTCCAAAGTTCACCTCTAGATACTGAACGGGTCTCTACAATGCTTTCCCTTTATCAACCTCTGCCGGCCCTCCTACTCTCTCCACCTATTTCAAGAAAAAAAAAAAAATATATATATATATACGTACATGTGTGCGTGTACTAATGCATATAGCAGTACACACACAGCTATAGTGTTTCGACTCTAAAGAGAATAAGCATGGGAAAACGAGAAAAATGCAAGTATAGTATTACCGCGCGCGCGCACACACGCACACACACACGCACACACACACACACACACACCTATTTGGATTGCACAGTGTGCAGACCCGATGATTTTACCCCCCACCCGAGAACGAGAACAGCGGGCGTCTTCTTCCCTTTACCTTCGAAGCCAGAGTCTAAGGGAGCAATGACCTTGCAGAGAAATTCATCACCTGCGAGAAAGACTGGCCCCTCCTGGGGCGCAGGATGCGAAGGGGACAAGAGCAACAGGCAAGGGGTCACCGGGCACGAGGTGGGGCCCAATCCATCGGCGGCAGTACCGGGCACCCCGCAGAGCTGCGGCGGCGCGGGCGGGACGCGGGGCAGGGGCGCGGGGGGCGGTCCCCCCCCCCCCCCGGCCGCCGCTCGCCTACCTGCTCTCCCTGCTCTCCCGGCTCTGCCCGGCTCTCCCCGGCTCTGCCCGGCGCCGCGGGGCCGCTGCCTGCGCTGCGGCGGGGTTTCCCCGTCGCATATCCCAAGCACGGCTCGCGGGTGGCCCCGGCGGGCTCCGGGGCGGCGGTCCCGTTTAGACCCGTTCCGGGAGCGAGCCGGGCGCTCGCAGGAGCTGGAATTACTATGCAAAGAGCGGAGGCGGCGCGCAGGAGCGGGCGGGGACCGCGGGGCCGCCCCCTCCGCGGGGCCGCAGCCGCCGCCGGGCGCCGAGCCAGCGGGAGGCGCGAGTGCACGCGCCCGACCGCGCCTCCGTCAGGCCCGGGGCGCCCACCCGGCCGGGCGGCGGAGGGGGCTGCGGCTTCGCGGGCGGCCGTGGCCCACGGCGGCGGCGGCGGCGGCGGCGAAGGCGAAGAAGGCGAAGGCGGCGGCGGGACGCCGAGCTCCGCCCCCGCCGCGCCCCGGCCCAGCCTGCCAGGTCCCCCGGGAAGGGTTGGCCGCGGGGCTGGCTGCGCCCCCGGGGCCCGGGCCGGTGGCAGCGGGGTGGGCGCAGGAGGGCTAGGGCTCCTCTGCAAGGCGACCGGAAAGTTAGGAAGGAGCCGGAGGTGGAGGACTGGGGCCGAGGGCGGCTCAGCAGGAATTCTGGCCCTTGCTCCTGCCCGCAGGTCACCGGCCTCCATGTCTGTGTCTAGACTCCAGCAGGCGGTTCTGATGAAGCCACGCGCGGTGAAGATCTGAAAGCAAGGACCCCCCCCCCCCCGCCGCCGCCACCACCAGCACCAGCACCACCGCCGACGTTTAGTGTGTGTTGCAAAACGTACAGTATCCTGCGTATTTGGAACTGGCCTTGCGGACCGTGTTCTTGTCTTTCCCCACTCCCCCGCCCCCATCCGTGGGCGTGGATGGCTTTGAAAAGCGTCCCTGCTGAGTGGCTTCAGTGATGCTAAGTGGGTATGTAGTACGGTCAGCGGCTGCGGCTGGTGCAAACGCAAAGAACCATTATTGAGTATTGTTGGCAGGCGCTGTGCAAAAAAAAAAAAGATGCTTTATGTGTGCCTTCTCGAATTCCCACAGCTCGGTGAGGTGGGTATTGTTCTCCACTGTACTGGCAAGAAAACAGGTTTCCATGATTTAGACACGTTGCCTGAGGTCACACCGGAGTAACCTGCACCAGTGGGATGCAAACCGCTCCAGAATATGTCCTCTCAACCAGTGCACAAGGACTCACCCAAGGATCTTGTTGAAACGATTGGTTCTGATTCAGTAGGTCTGGTGTGGGCCTGGGGATCTGCATTCCTAAAGGGCTCATGGTTTTGTCCATGCTGCTGGCCAAAGGACCAAACTTTCTAAACTAGTAGGCCAGGGTTTTGAAGTAAATTATTTCATGCCAGCTCCAGTTGATTGAGGCAACTTTCTCAAGTTGGGTTAAGAAGGACCCTAAGGCTGTGTCTTAGCTCTGGGTCAAACAATGCAGTAATCAATTCATCATGTTCAGTTTGGCTGATGGAGAGAAGGTTATCACACATGTGCTGGGTGGCCCTCCCTGTGGTCAGCCCCTTTCAAAACAACAAGGGCAGTTACGTTTTTACGGTGGTTATGGTTTTTTTGTTTTTTGTTTTTTTTTTGTTTTGTTTTTTTCTTCATTTAAGGCATTGATGCACCAACGTCAGATGTCTTTCTTCTAGTTCTCACCTTCATTAAGAAAAGCTCGGGCAAAGTTTTACACCTAAAGTTTGTGTGGAATGAAACACTTTACAAAGTGCTCACATAAATGATTTTCTCTGTCTTCATAACAACACTGTAAGGCAGCAATAATTTCATGTTACAGGAAAGAAGAACTGAGGTGGAGTGATTTTTCTTGAGACTAACAATACGCAGGCAGTAGGGGCTAGACTGTGACAGGTTTCTATTTCAGGGGTTGTTTTTACTAAACTACTGTATTAGTTCCTGCTGCCACTGTAACAAATTACTACAAATGTAGTGGCTTAATACAACACAAATGTATTATCTTACAGTTCTGGAGGTCTAAAGCCTGAAAATAGGTCTTACAGGGCTAAAATCAAAGGATCAGCAGGGCTATGCATTCCTTTTGGAGGCTCTGAGGGGATAATCTTTTCCTTCCTTATTGTTCCTACCTAGCTTCTAGTGACAGGCTACATTCCTTGGCTTGTGACTACATCACTCAGATCAGATTTCTATTGTCTTATCTCCTTTTATTCTGATATTCCTGCACCCCTTTAAAGATTTTACTTATTTATTCATGAGAGAAGCAGAAAGAGAGGCAGAGACATAGGTAGATAGAGAAGCAGGCTCCCTGTGGGGAGCCCGATGGGGGAATTGGTCCAGGGACCCCGGTTACACCCTGAGCCCAAGGCAGACGCTCAACCACCGAGCCACCCAGGCGTCCCTCCTGCAGCCCTTTAATAAACATCATTGTGATTACTTTGGGTCAACTCAGATAATTCAGACTAATCTCTCCCATCTCAAGATCCTTAATTTACACATCTACAAAGACCCTTTTGTCATGTCTGGTAACATATTCATAGGTCCCAGGGATTAGGATGTAGAGATATTTTTGGAGGATCATTATTATGCCTCCCTAAACCTCATTTAGTACTTATCCTATAGTACTTATACTATACCTTACTCATCCCTCTCTTCTGCTTGATTTCTGACTGCTGGGACGTTCTTTCAATGGAAAAATTCACTTGAAAGTCATGCAAGAGACTATAACAAATGTGCAGTGGCAAGAAACACCCCAAGAACATCAAAAGGCCATGAAGATCTGTAAGAATATGGTCGTGAAAAGGACATAAGGGATTAGAGGCTGCCTATTGGTCTGAATGACACTAAGATAAACCTTAGGGGAAGTCCTAACCACCACTAAAGGCCGCCTTTAGCTATCAGAATGTTTCAAAATCCTGCTTCTCAAAGAGTACACTGTTCCAGGATAAATAATGCAAGTCAAAACTCATGCAAAGAGAATATAACATCAAATTCCAAACCGAGTGATGGTTTTCAAAGTGATGAGAAACATTAAACCAGCATGTCAAACAAAATCAATAAAAATTATTGAACACATTTTATGCTCAAGGCATTAATAGAAACATTCTGCTATAGAGAAGTTTATCATTTCATTGGCACACAGAATTTATGAAAAATGGAATAATAAAGGATTTCAACAGAAGAAATGATTGGAGAAGCAACAGGAGATGGTACGGGATTCATCACCAAGTGAATTAGATAAATTGGGAAGTTAGGTTTATACAGGAGAGTGGATATAAAACTGGAAAGGTAGGTTGGAAGGTTACGTTGCTCACGATCTTAAATGTCAAACTAAGGAGTTCGGACTTCCCTGCAATAAGAACAACGATAATAACATCTTATGCTTTATATCGCCCGATTATTTACCAAGCACTTCTTACATATTTTCAGTCATTTGACTTCCACCCCTAAGTCCCCAGAAAAGCAGGCCTGAGCATGCATGTGCCTCCCTCCCCCTACACAGACGCACGCGTGCAAACACACACAGAGAAGGAAATGAAAGCCTCTTATCAAAGAGGTGTTCTAGACCGTTCTATGTAAAAATTCAGCTCCCACCCCTCTTATCTGCCTTTCTTTTTTCCTTCTCACCCTGCCAGCTTTATGTTTTTCCACGGGGCTTACTACTGCATCTTGATAGAGTTTATTGATACCTATTACCTATGAGGGCAGGGACTGTGTCTCTAGTTTGTTTCTATATCCTTACCACCTAAAATAGTTTCCAACACTTAGTAAGTGCTCAGGAAATATCTGTTGAATGGATGGATCATCATCTCCAGTTTACAAACCAGGAATCCAAATCATCGTGAACTCACCTTCATGATGTCTGACAGCTAAAAGTACCTTTCCCAAGACGGAGTCCCGATGTCTAGCCCCTGCTTATCTGATAGTATATTTTCTATCTGAGTGAAAGCTGTTAGTAGTGCTTAACCAGGGGCCGCAATGTATTTGAAAAAGATAAGAATTTGAGACTGGAATCTTCTCTAAATGTCACATCTTTCCTAAAAACTTCTTCAGCTTAGCTGGATTGGCAAGAAGCATTGGCAGGAGGCGTTACCAACAGTAGATCCTGGAGGGCTGCCATCACTCCTACGTTAGTTGGCACTGAGGAATACTGTAAGTTGCTTTGTAATTGTTCCCTGGTAATGCACGTGGGCATGTCTTGACCCTCGGGGTTATAGGCTTTTTGGTCTCAGGGACCATAACTACTATGTCCTTTATATCCCCACATTCAGCCCAGTACTGGCCTCTAAACAGACTTATCTCTGCGTGGCTACAAGAAGGCTGCCATCACTACAAAAATTCTATCATTACAAACTACATTCAAAACAATGTAGGGGATCCGAATGTGCCACCGCAAAATATGCCGCTTTGGCAATAAGCATTATTTTGAGCTCAGGCAAATGGGAACCAACAGATGCAGAACAAAGCCTTCTTGGAGCTTTCCTTATCTGACAAAAAAAAAACAAACTTTTGAGAAATGAGGATGGCCATAAACCCCCTTTCCTGGGGAAGTTTTATGGCCATGAAGAAGACAGAGCCCATCCCAAGATCGGTCTCCAAACAGATCTTACTAAAATAGCCCTTGTCCTTCATTCATTAGGTTCCCCTCATATATTTACCTTCCCACAGTTTGCTGTCCCTAAAAGCCTGTACCCCTTTTTCCTTTGTCTTGTCACCTTTCTACAAACATTCTTTGTTAAGATCAGCCCGCTGGTTTGAGTTATGCACCACTGAGTTTCCACTGCATCTAGGCAGGGTGCATGTGTAAATCAACTCTGTTTCCTTTTCCCTCCTTAATTTGTCTTTGTCTGTCTAATTTGTAGGGCCTCAGCTGGAGAAGCTAGGAGGATAGAGAGAAAAGATTTCTGTGCTCCTCTCCAACAGGAAGAAAAGAATTCCTGTGGAAAAAGAAACCTCTAATTTTTTTTTTCATGCAAGAAAAATTATTTTCCAGAACCCACTCTCCTAGTCCCAAGTATTTGGTCAGAGTTCAGTCACCACCACATCACCCAGGGAGGCTCTGAAAATGAGCACCTAGCAAGGAGGAATGGGCTTGCCTAGATTTTTTTTTTTTTTTTTTTTTTTTTTTTTTTTAGGCTAGACATCCTGGTGCCCCAATCAAAACTGAGGTTCTGTCAGTAAGGGAGAAGGAAGGTCAGCTTCTTCTGGGATCTTAGCTGCATCTTTCACAGAGAATCAGTATAGAAACACCGAAGATTCACATTCAGGCCCGTTTTGATGTTACCTGAGTGCATTTGGTTTTCTGGAAGACCATAGCAAGCCATATAGGTCAAGTTCCTACTTATTTTCCTCCTCCCCTTCCTCTTTCCTTTCTTCCTCCATCCCTCCCTCCCTTCCTGCCCAACCACCTCTTCCTCCCTTCTCTTCTGATACAAAATAGCCTTCTGCAGCGTCATTTTTTGTATACTTACTTTTCCATTGTATAATCAATTTCCTATTTAATGTTTAGATTATCTCTATCTGGAATATTCTTAAACTAGTCTTATTCAATTGATCAGATAAGAGAAACTCAAATCACAGGCATCATCTCTTGCTGCTCCCTAACTCACATTTTCTATTCCTGTGATAGTTTTTAGAACATGTTAGTATATTGTTCTACAACATGAGGACTTTGCTTTTATTTGTTCCCCCCCTCCCCTCCCCCAGAAATGCCCTTTCTTCATAGCCACTTACCAAATTCCTAGTTGCCTTTCAAAATTCGATTTAGCTTTCACCTCCTCCAGGAACACTTGCCAAAACCACCCATTCTCATATTTAATTACTTCCTCCTCTGGGATATGCCTGAATCAAGTATCAATCTTTGTTGTAGTTAATAAAATACTGTACTCTAATTTGTATTTTTGTCTGTCTCCTTAATGAACTCAGTGTTCCATGAGGACCAAGCCCTTGAATTAACTATTTTCTTTTTTTTAATGTTTGTTTATTTATTTATTTTTAGCAATCTCTACCCTCAATGTGGAGCTCAAACTCACTACCCTGAGATCGAGGTAGTATTGCACTTTCCTCCGACTGAGCCAGCCAGGCACCCCTGCGTTATGCCATTTTCTGTTATCAAACTTAGCCTATTGGTTGTTCACATTTGTGGAATTTAAGGCAAACCATTTTTTATTTTTATGTTTTTAAAGACTATTTATTTACTCATGAGAAAGAGAGAGAGAGAGAGAGAGAGAGAGAGAGAGAGGCAGAGACACACACCGGCAGAGGGAGAAGCAGTTTCCATTCAGGGAGCCGGATGCAGGAGCCGATCCTGCGACCCCTGGGCCGAAGGTGGGTACTCAACCGGTGAGCCACCCAGGCATCCCAGGCAAACAATTTTTTAAAGAACTGATTCTGCTCCAGCTGTTGTGCTAGGCATTTTTAAATCAATTACTCTAATTACAGTGAGAGAAGACAGTAATCATTTCATAACAAAAGGTTTCTAGCTAAACTCTAAGACAAAGGAGTCCTACATGGCTTTAGGTTCTGAAAACCGGGGTTGTGTCTACACTGTTGTCATGAGTATGCAATGTGGAAGCATTTGGTTTTTACCTTTGGGCATTTTAGCCATTTTTACTTGCAGATAACCATCACTTTCTACTTAAAAACTGCATGTCATACATGTGAACCTATATTTCATACAGGACCATTTTTCAAATGATGATTTTTGCTAGGTACTTTTAGGCTACAAGGAGCAGAAATCATGCTCAGTTCCCCTCAGCTGCTGAACACTTGTTTAAAGGGAAATAAGGGTGTCCTGTCTAGGGAAGACACCTGCTGCTTCCATCCTCTCAGCTTCCATTCTCCCCTTGCCAACCACTGCATCTCAGTTTTCCATTGAAGAGCCACATACCTCAGTCCATGTGATTAGGTGGAGCTGACCCTGACCCAGGGGGAAAAATATAATGTAGGATAGAGCAAGAGGAGAACCACCTGTCCCTGGCCACAGTGATTGGTTCATGGATGGGTGCAAGACCCAAACCATGGCTGGAACTTTTGGGAAAGATGGGGTCCCCTGGCTAGTAAAGTGGAAAACTGGAGCTGCTAATAGGGACCATTTGCAGACAGGCTGTGTAAAGGAAACAGGAAGACGAAGGCAAGAAAAGCAGGGCTGGGAGATGGAGTGAAAGTGAAACAGTTCTTTTTCTGGTGATATGATTTTAAACCATTACATTCAGTCATCCTTGAATTTATGGTCTGCCACTGAATTTTACACTGGTTAATCATTTTCAAATTGTATTTGTCTCCCACAACTGAAGAGTTCTTATAGGCTCTTATAATAGCTGCATGGAAAAACTTAATGTATTTCTCAGGATACAGTAGCAGACCCATGATGGACTGTGATACTTATGGTCCAGTGAGAAATTCTCTGGTGACTTGGTCACACTGTTCCTTTAGAAGCAGCCATCTGCTGTTGCTTCTTTTCTGAACAATCTTCTAGATACTTTTTTTTCTGCTTCTCTCCTTACACTACTACCTAAACCTTTCTTTTTTTTTTTCTGTGCAGATTGCATTCAAACTTTCCAGGAAAGAGAATCTGATTGACTGCTTGATACATTCTATTGAGTGCTTCATATACCTTAAATGTATTGAGTGCTTTCTTGCAAGTTGTTCCCTCTGGCATGATTTACCACTCCATATCTACCCCCTCATCACTTCATTTGGTTCATACCTGTTTAACTTTCAAGTCTCAGGTAAAGCCATTTCCTCTGCAAAGGCTATTTGAGTCTGTGGGATTCAGTTAAGTATTTCTACTTTGTGTTCATAAAGAACCTATCTGTTCATCACTGGGTATTTCATTGCTTATTTACTCATTTGCCTCTTTACTATCACTCTTAGACTGTAATTTCTTTGTGGATAGGAATTTTTTCTCTGGTTTATGTTTAGCACCTGGCACAGTGCCTAACACACAGTAGATAAAAAAAAAAACAATATTAGTTAAGTGCTGAATAAAATATTTGCCAATATCCTAAGTCTCTGTTAAAAATTTCTTTGACCAGGGGTGCCTGGGTGACTCAGTTGGTTAAGTATCTACTTTCTGCTCAGGTAATGATCCCAGGGTCCTGGGATGGAGCCCTGCATCAGGCTCCCTGCTTATGGGGAGCCTGCTTCTTCTTCCCCTCCCTGTTTGTGTTTTCTCTCTCTCATAAACAAAATCTTAAAAAAATAAAAATAAAAATTTCATTGACCAAAATATCAATGGGTCTCCAGAGTCAATTCTCTTAATCTAACTGGAGTGTAGCATCAGGAAAAGAGATTAGAGTATAACCGATGCAATGAAAGCCCTAGAGTGCCAAAAGTTCATACACACATTTAGCTAATGTCAATATAAATGCATAGTATTGGGGAGAGGTAGTGGGAGAAATACAGAAATAACAATGCATAGAGTATGCATCTGGCATGACATTTCACCATTTTGCATTTGACCTGGGAGCCAAAAACCTGCTATTCCCCGGGGGTGGGGGTGGGGGCTCTCATAATGGGGTCTTTTTAGCAGGCTGGGGATGATTCTGGTATTTAAAGGAATTTTTTTTTCATACAATATGACCCCTAATCACAAAAGAAACGTTTCATTTGGTATTAGATCAAAGGCTCACAAATCTGTTCTAATGCTGGAAGAAAAGGTCCAAAGGAGGAGTTAGAACTTTCTTCTAATGAAAAAAAAAAACAAAACAAAACTCAAAAAAACCCAGATGTTAGATAGACGGACAGATAAGCTAGTATCGGATATATATTTTGGCTGGAGAGGTTTAGATGTCCTTGTCTTTCTCTTGCTCCATGTTACCTCAGGATTTTCCCTACCTGTCCTCAAGCTTTTGAGTCCCAAACCCAGCTCTGACCAAGGCAGGCAGTAGACTCACAGCATGCAGCTGGTGGCCTATGGAAATCATCTCATTGAATTTCCATATTTGACATGGAACGACTGAGATGGGCCACAAGCCACCATATCTGCGATGATGATCCATCTTCCTCCCTGTTCTCCACTGTATTCTCTTGGCTCATATGGTCCTAATTCTGCTTGCTACCTCAGTAAAGCTTCATTTGCTGGTACTCCAACATGTTTGTCTGAGACCCTAACCCTTCTTAGCTCTTGCCAGCCCCTTTTTCTCCAATGGCAGTGGGCTAATGGTACCTAGGTGCAACCTTTTCTGGTAATTTGGTGGAGTTCAGCTCTAAATTGGATGAACCTCCTGAAAAGAGAGTGCAACTAGCATGTGACTTCAAATATAACCACTATCTGGAGACTGACTTCCCTGCCTCATTCACTTTGAAGTCTACTCTACCCTTTTCCTATCCTAAAGATGTTAGCTCTATGTAATAAAATTTGCCCATTCTTTCAAACACTATTACTTTTTTTCTGAGTCAGGCTCATAAATTGAGTTAGTTTCCCTAGTCCAATTTTTTCCCCCTTCTCCATCTGCTGAGATCACCAACATTCTCTATAAAAACATAATTATTTAATAGTACTCATCAGCTGATGAATGGATCTATATAGTGTGGTATATCCATACCATGTAATATTACTTGTCAATAAAAATCTTATATGTGTTCCATTCAAAAAACAGGCAAAAGATCTGAATAGACATTTCTCCAAAGAAATACAAATGGTCAATAGGCACATGAAAAGACGTTCAAGGGATGCCTGGGTGGCTCAGTGGTTGAGCATCTGGCTTCCACTCAGGGTGCCATCCCAGGGTTCTGGGATCAAGTCCCACATTGGGCTCCCCAAAGGGAGCCTGTTTCTCCCTCTGCCTATGTCTCTGTCTTTCTTTGTGTGTCTCTCTGATAAATAAATAAACAAAATCTTTTAAAAAGAGAAAAGACATTCAGTATCATTAGCCATAAGGGAAATGCAAATTAAAACCACAATGAGATACTACCTCATATCCATTAAGATGTCTACTGTCATACAACAGAATATAACAAATCCTGGCAAGTATGTGGAGAGATCAGAATGTTCATAGTTGTGAAAGGGAATTAAAGATGGTGCAGCTCTGTTGGAAAGTAGTTTGGCATGTCTCCAAAAGGTTAAA